TTAATCTTAAAAATTAATAAATAAAATAAATTTAAATATAAGATATAAATTTACATTATTCAATATATTTAATCAAATGAAAACATATGTGATAAATCAATAATGTATTTTAACTTAAAATGATCACAATAAGTTAACTTGCAAAATAATATAATTAATAAATTAGTAATGTATTTTATTTAAAATAATCACAATAATAGAACACGCAAATAATGTTTTTTATTTATAGGACTGATATAGTTTTATTGATTATTTAATTTTAAATACTACTATGAATATAGTATTTAATCTATACTTTAGAAATCACATGATTATAAATATAAAACAATATTTTTTTATTACCCATATTTTTATTTAATTAAAAAAAATTAAGATTATAAATTTATTATTTATTTTTCATTTTTGTTTGATCTTTTTTTATTTATAACTTTTATGTATGTTCTATACTGTCCTTGCTTTAAATAAAATATATTATTTATTTATATTTTATATTTTTATTTTATTAAAAATATTAAATAAAGTGAAATTATTACTTATATTTTAATTTGGTTGATTTATTTAATTGAAATTTCGATTTAGTTTTTGTTTTTTGCAAGTTATATTATTGTGATAATTTTAAATTAAAATACATTATTGATTTATCACATATGTTTTCATTTAATTAAATATATTGAATACGGTAAATTTGCAAGTTTAGTAAGATTTGTTTGCAAATTTTAAATATAAAATACTAATGTGATAATATTATGATAATTATAGCAAATAAAAAATATTTCTAAAAAAAATTCTCTATTTATAAAATTTTTATATATTAAGCATAATAAATAAAAATTTACTAAAATGGTGTTTATATGAAATTAATAAATCTTAAACATGAACCGAAAGACTTTTTTTTTTCAAAAAGTCTTTCGGTGAACAAACGAAAAAAATATGAACCGGAAGATTTGCAAAAAGTCTTCCGGTAAACAAACGAAAAAAATGTGAACCGGAAGACTTCCAATAAGTTTTCCGGTGAACAAATGAAAAAAATATAAATCGGAAGACTTGCAAAAAGTCTTCCGATGAACAAATGAAAAAAAATTATAAATTTTTATACGAAGATATTTTGGTCCAAAAAATTTAATATAGAGGTATAGGTATAATTGTAGGGGTAAAGGGTAAAATTTCCTTCGAGTGAGCTTAAGTTCATCCAAAATGCTCAGAATGTAAAGAAAATAAAAGAAAAACTTTGTATGAATTTTAAAATTCGAACGCACTACTTATTTCAAGATAGTTCATCCTATGAATTTTAAAATCTATACTTGTCCAAAATACCCTTTTTCTTTCTTCTTCTAAAATTTTAGTATTTTTAATGCAATTTTATTTATATTAACATCTGAATGCACCGCACCATATATGACAAAAATGATAACAAATGACATTAAATGATGAATTAGGATTACAACACTGAGAGATGTCTGTTTGTGTATTGATGCATTCAAGTTTCAATATTTAAATGGTGCAAAAGAGCATTTTTGAATTTAAATATGATTTAAAAGAACTAGTAAGAGTGCTGAACATCTCCCTAATACATATCCATCTAGGATTTTATTTTATCTATCTCATGGGGTGAGGGTGAACATAATCAAAATTTGATTTTATCCTTCTCATATTCTGAAGATACGTTTACGAACGCACCTTAAATGCACACAACGCTTCATAAGTTGGTTATTCACCATCATATTTTCCAAAAACGAGTCTGAAAATACATCTCCATAATTTGGCAAGATGTGTTCGTAAGTGTATATCTGAACTAACCTTTATCTTTATGAGCTAATGAAAAGGTGTTTTTGAAACGTTTAGAGGGTATTTGAAAGTGCATCTCCAAAAAATCCTCAGAACTTAAAACATCAGTCCTAGGTAGCAAGTTTATCCTGAAATTCATTTTTTTTATACCAGTTTATATTTTAAGTCATTTATACTAGGATTTCATAACATCATGTTAATTATCCTAACGTAATTCAAGGATGTCATATATAAATTCAAACAATAATACAAAACTAAAACATTAATCAATGAAAACGTGACCACAATACATAATTTGTTTTTAAAAAAATACAAATAGTGCAACTATTACCAAAATATAAATAAAAAAACTACAACGTATATCTAACATCCCCTAATTCTCCTCTACCGCCTTTATTGTAATACATTTCATGCCTCGGCTAAGATGGTATGCACAACATCCATACTAGAATTGTTTTCCACACACACACACTCTCTCTCTCTCCGTCGACAAGCCACCAACACGTTCTTGGCGTGGCCATCCCTAGCATGTTCCTCTTCCAAAATCTCTTGATGGGATGGCATAGGTGGTGTTCTCACATCATCTTGTGACATGTAAAGATGTGACACATTATAGAACAATTAGATGTAGTCGAATGAAGCATCTCATGACTCAGTAAATGCACATTGTGTGCATCATCTGATACCAGATAATTATAGAACTCATCGAGTATGGTATCATGATCTTTGCGGCAACCTGTCAGAGAAGCAGACACAGTGGTAGGTCTTGGAATAAATTTAAGAAACATGAACTATGCACTACCCGCTCAGGAAGATGTGGATACATTAGGTGTAATCCATAAACCAACCATTCAAAGTATAAGGTTATGTCATCCAAGGGACGCGTCTGGCGCTTGCGAATCAAATGAAGCCGCACCAACTGGTTGTCGTGAGGATCTGACCCTCTACCTACGAACCGATGCATGTTGGACCGCTCGACTGTATCTCAATTTGTCCAGGTTTTTATCCATTGTATCTATAATAAAACAAGAAAATCATATCACAATCAAAATGTTGCAGGAATAAATGAAAGCAAAATCCATCAAAATTCAGAGATACATACATCTCCATAACACAAAATTTATTTTTTTGAAGATACATCTTTGTAAAAAATCGCGACAAGGAAAAAAAATGCATAAAACCCTTATAATTCCCTAAACACCATCAAATGTGAATGCATGTCTATATAAGCTACCTATTTTAAATGTAATTAGAACATAATACATCTTAAACTACTTATCTTACCTAATACATATGCCATAACTAAAAAAAAGGGAAATGAGATGCTTATCGATTGAGAGTTGTTATGTGAAAGCTTGAATGAAGTGAATGGGATGTCCTGAAAATGATTGTAATGAGGTAGAAGTGGTGTTGAAGCTTAAAAAATGGCCTAGTTGATTCTTGCTTCCAAGCACTTTGAAGTGTTTTTTAAAGTGTAGAAAATGAAGAACGAGGGAGAAAGGTTTTGGTGCGAGGTATATGAATTAAAACTCGTCCGAATATGTATCTCCGTAAAATCCGTTAATCGTAAAATATTGAGTTTTAAAATAAGAGTTGTTACGGAGTTGTATCTCTGAACACATTTTTGGATAAAATGGAGCGATTCACTCACGAAAGCGTTAAACGTGTGTTATGAGTATGTCCGCAGTTGCATCTCTAGAATATAAAAATATTTGTGACTTTTGACCATGATGAACTAAAATTTATAGGGTCTACAAAGTTCCCTTACATTTATAATTACATAACAAAAGCTTTGTTGAATAATGAGTTCAAAGAAAACCTAAAAAATATGGCAAGCTGGTAGGTAGTTTTTTTCCCACTCTTTTCCCAAAGTCTCAGTAAAAATTCAAAAATATCTTAATTTTTAGAGATGCATTTCCGGACGTACTCATTTCCGGACGTACTCATTTTCTATAAAATTGTACGCAGACGAGTGAGTCACCCTTATTATTTTTATTTTCAGATATTCATATTCGGATAAACTCTATTTTTTTTTACAAAAATAAAATGTTTGCAAATATGCATATCTGAAAAGTGCACTGTTGTATTTTTTTTAAAAAAAACTTAATATTGAGTGTATTCAGATAGACAAGCCTAGTATTCATGCATCAACAATGTAATCAATATTTAAATACCAACAATGTCCATATTGAAAAAAACATTTGAAAAATAGAAAAATAATTAAAATAAAATTATAAAAAAATTGGAAAAGAAATACAACTAAAAATAAAATCAAATCAAATTAATAGTCAACAATTTTAGAAATGCAGGAGCGCAATGGGCAGAACACGAAGATACAATTTCTATGACTCCTAATATTGGTTAAAATCAATAGTGAATCCCAACAACGACACCAATTTCAATGAAAAACAGAGTCAGGGGTGTTTTTGAAGATGAATTTCCAAATTCACCCTAGAAAATTTTGAAAAAACATCTCCAAACTAATTCTTAACAAAAATGAGATGATTATTTGATTTACAAAAGATGAAATAATTTAAAATACGTCCGAAGATGCATCTCCAAAAATTTTTAAAAACAATTTTAAATTTTCAGAAGTGTGAGTTATACCATAAAAGTAGAAACAGAAATCACCAACTTTAGAGGCAGCTTTATGAAAACTTTCTAATGAAAAACTTAGAGAAAATTAAAAGTAGTACAAAAATATTTAAACAAAGTTTTCCTTAAAACTAATTCTTGAAAATTTTATTTTAAAAAAAATTTCATCTCATTTAACTCAAATAAATAGCTAAGCTTGGTGTGAAAATAAAATTTCTAAATTCTAAATTGTCTTTAAAAAAAGTTTGGATTAACTACACACAGTTTTCCAATGGCAACCTACACCTCACCAACAAATTTCTCTACTTTCACCATTTGTGCAGCAAATCATCAAGCAAAAAACCAGTTGAAAGTAAAGTATACTATTAGTTTGTAATCATTACTTTATCAAAACTTCAAAGCAAAATGAAACAGAAAAACACACTAAAGGCACAGTTGGTTCCAATGTAACATTAGAGTCAACATGGACATCATACACACAACCTTTAGTTGGACTTTTCTGTATTGGTAACTAAACCACTCTATTGTTTACAGCATTGGAGTCTTCACATGGAGACTAACCAAGTTTGATAATGAACTGCACCATGCCATCAACACCCTTATATCCAAGGGTTGAGAGACTAACAACACCAATATGCATAATGCTCGTCTTTGCGTTGGATACTAACAAGTCCGCCACACTTCAAACAGATGAAACTACTTCCATCAGAACCTGCGTCTAACACTACTTGCATCCTGCCACTTTCTGCCAGTATTGATGGCCCGTTAGCATCTGTGGTAACTGATGGGGGGTTGGTAATGGTAGTCGTTGCAGGTGGTTCAGTTAATGCCGGCTGAACTTCAGCAATGGCACACTCGGCAAACAAAGAAGCCAGCTGATCAGCTGCGGCGTTCTGTTGCAGTCTACTTTTATAGAGCTCGCGAGCGCGATTCAAGGACTGGAATACAGCTTCATCGCCACCTCTATTCTTCACTGCTACGACCACCTGTTTGAGTTTAAAAGCAAAATATCAGCCACCAGCCCACCACAAAGAATTGCAGGTTTAGAGAGAAATGACATGGCATATCAGAAGAACATATAGAATTGGGACTATGAAAAGTCTAGATCTTAAAGATCCATGAAATTACATTTTTCTATACAATCTTTGCACCCTTAATCTGAACCAGTTCTTATCAGTCTCACACATCAGAAGAACATATAATATCCTCTATGGAATGCTTGAATAGCTGATTCAAACATTACTTTTTACAATGCAGGTTCTGGTAACACGAGAATGAGAGATAAAACTGTAACATGTCCCAAAGCTGATCATTGCATTTTAGAATAAAGGTGTAACATGAATGAAAATACAACCTCTTAAAATGTACGTAAAAGTTGTTCGAACATCAATTTAAGACAACAAAACTCAATAACTTTCTGAATGATTACCGTAGTTCATAGACGTGGTTAATGAAGTGTTAGACTTGGTTAATAGATACTATACAATGAAACATCTTTCATAAGTACACCATTTAACAAAAGAAATACAAGAAAGTGTATTTCATAGTTTACTATATCACAAATCAAAACATAATTAGGAAATAAATATACAAAATCAAGAAAATTAGGATAAAAAGATGATAATTACATAATAAGAGTCGACAAAATGTTATTCTATATATAGAACGAAATTGAGAACAAATGTACAATATAATAGGAAAAGTATCAATATCATAAAATTAATTATTTTACTAATTAATTTTGGTACGTATTTGGTACTTACCATATGAGCAACAAACACGACGGGTACAATACCAAATACGGGTACAACATGAATTTTGGACTACCCATGCTTTAGAAATACTATATCATTTGCCGCGACATATTAAACACATATTTGAACTATATCAACCACAAACTTAAACATGACTAGCCATGATTTTCAAGTGCTCATCTACATGTAGTTAGAACACCTGAAATTGTCGTTAATAATGTTCAAATATGTGGTTAATTAAGTTCATTTGATGGCTAATGAGTAATACAGTTTTAATATACCCGTCAACCACTCATTGAACCACGTTATCTACATGCTTGAACGTCATTAACCATTTAAATAGTCGTAAACTTTGGTGTAGGAAAATGTATGGTGACACACGCCTACCAAGAACCACTCTCTAAATAAACACACCATATATCATACATGCAATAAACTCCATTTCAATGAGGCAAGCAACTTTGTATTCTTTTAAAACTTGTGTAACAGTCATCAAGGCATGATAGTTTGATAGTTTCAAGAATGTTTGAGAATCGTAAGAGCTGGTGAGAGGAAGAAATCAAAATCAGGGTATAGCATTGACTACATGACATTTAGACATTTAAAATTGTCTGAACACCAGAAAACTATGAAGCACGGATCCTAGAAACACAACACCGATACTGACACATCGACACCGATAATAATTTTGAAAAAATGAATAAATTTAACGCAATCATAAGTGTCAGTGTCGATTTCAAACACCAACACTGAAGCTGACACACATTCTTTTAGAGGTGGCGGTGCTACATAGCCAGAAAATTTAAGATCTTCAAAACTTTTCATAAAACTTTATGAGCAAAGGTTTGGGGATTTAAATGATAATCTCCCATTTTCCTCAATTTACTTTAAAAACTCCAGACTACTAGGTTTTGCTTGATCTCAAAGAAAAGCTATTTTGAAGAAGAAAAAAAAAGCTATAATCCAAGAAACACTTAAAAGTCCTACCGATTAGTTAAGTGAAGTTACCAAACAAGAGTTCCTTACTTCAATTCAGCCCAAAAGAAATATCTCAAGGGAATTCAACAAATTTCAAATCCCCAAATGTTTGATACAAGAAATAAACAAAGTATAAAATAAAAATCATTACTTTTTACAAATGAAACCCTAAAAATTCCCTGCAAAGTGTAAAACTTTGCACCCCACTAAACTAAACTACAAATTACAGAATGTGAATCGAAATAGAGTACACCAACCAACCACCCAACATGCAAAATGATCCCTAATTTATCTAATTTGATCGAAATATTGAAATGAAAGAGGAATAGGAAAAGTGATTACCGCTTGAAGGGCTTGAGAAGGTTTGCCTTGATTGATGAGTTGGCGAGCCAATGTGAGTAATTCACGAATATCGTTGTTCTGACCGGAGCTTGATGCTTCCGTTTCCATCATATCAGCGTCCATTTTTTTCAGATGTTTTCTTCTAACGTATCGCTTTAATCAAAATCCGAAAAAGAATCTGAAAGAAACGATAAAGAAGAAGAACAAACAATGAAGAGTTGGAGAATGGAAATGAATGTTGTTCTTTCTAGCACATTCTTCTGGTCTCTTTTTCTGTTTCGTGCCACGTCATCAACAGTATGACATCATTAAAGTTGGGTTAGAGATGGGCTGCTATTATCAGTTAGGCCCAACTAGGCCCATATGCTATCACTCTTCCCTTTAAAATTGTTTTAGGCTTTGTTTTTGAATTTATTTTTGAGAGTTTTTTAATCCACCTCTTGATACTCTTAGGTATTTATCAAAATTATGTTCTTTTTTCGGAGTTATACATTCAAGCGCACTATTTTGTTTCTTTATGTTGAATGCTTTTGGAGATGCATCTATGAAAAAAGTTTCGAAAATACAACTCCCAAATCTTATCAGAACAGTTTTTTTAAAAAACTTATGTTTTTGTTGATCGCAGATGAAAATTAACTGTTGAAGATGAATATAAAATGGCATACATCCGTAAATAAAATAATGATATATATAAAAGAAGTACATCAAAAAATATATGGTACATCAGTGTCATAAAAAATATAGTACATCAAAAAACATCACAGTCACTACTGTGTGTGCCTGACCACCTCGTCTCTACCGCCTCGTTTGCCCCTCCCGCCTCCTCGATCGCCTGGTCTGTGTCCTCGTCCATCGATCCCACCCATCCTGACGAGATGCCTGCTGTACATAAGTTCCCCCATGCCACTGCAATGATGTCATCCAATGCACGTCTATGGTTAGAGCCCTTAGGGAAGAAATCGACAACAATGCATGCTCGTCCCATCTCCACTATCTCACGACAGCGAGGCGGGACACCCTGAGTGTGGTCCAGCTGAGACTGCTGCTCCTCTAAGATCTCTTGATGAGCTGGTATGGGTGACGATCCCTCGACAGTGGGCACTATGTAGGGGTGTGATACGATGAAGAACCACATGATGTAGCCATCAACGCAGCTTCAATCTATCGGCGCTCTGGTTTCCTGAGTCTCGTCAGGTACCATGTGCCTTTGGTAGTCGGCATAGATCTCGTCTATCTGCATTTGGGTCAAGCCGAGAGGAGCAGGGACAACTGGGTGTCTAGAAATGCTCTAAGCATAGTCGAACTGCCGTATGACGCACTCGGGTAAATATGGAATAGTGATGGTCGAACTGCATGCTAATAGATTTCATTTTTCTCGATTATTCTCTTGGTTTTTCATTTTTTTAAACTAATAGATTTAAACTTTGGATTGAAACTGATTGTTTATTGGTTGTAAAGTTAGTGGATGTGGTGGTACATTTGAACTTTGGATTGAAACTGATTGTTTATTGGTTGTAAAGTTAGTGTAACTAATTTAGTTAAGGTTTGGGCCAGGTTTGTTTGCAATTAGGGTAGACACGAATGTTAAGGATTTCATGAAGAAGTTAGTTTTTTAATTGTAACACTGTTAATCTTTCTATTAGTAACAGTTAGATGGAATTAGGATAGTGAGAGATTGAAGGTTAGTCGTTAGGGAGTTAGTGTTAAGGATTAGTTAGAACTATTGGTTAGTTTTGGAGCTTGAACTGAAGTTAGTTATGTTAAGAGTTTAGTTTATGTTAATTTGTTGAGATGTGAATTTGACTTTGAATCTCACTTGGTGTTGTGATGCTGTTAGGATAACTACTAGAAAGTCAATGAAACTTGCTTGTTAAATTTGAGACATATTGGTCTTTAGAATAGATGGTTGGAGAGTACTAGCCACACTAACTTTACAAATATTAATTTCACACACATAATTAGAGAAGAGAATTTTTGCGTTGATTTTTTTTTGCTAATATAAGTAGCAGTGCATATTTTTTAATTGCTTTTGTTTCTATCCCTATTAGAATTAAAGAGAATTTTAATTTGTAAAAAATATGTTAGGTATAACTTTCTTTAAGTTTTCTCATTTTTTATGCTATTTTATTTTGTTCCTCATTTTATAGTTTCTTAGTTATTCCACCTTTTTCTTTTAATATTATAAGGTTTTATTAAAAGAAATTATCAACTATATAAGAAGTTGTTACATTATTGCAAGTTTTATCAACAATTGATGTTCCAAGAATTATTTAATGTTGATGATGTTATTAATTTTGTCTGTTATAGGGTTACCTGTGAAGAGCAAGGTTGTGATAGTTTCCAAGAATCCTATTGTGTAGTTTTCTTAGAAGTTGCTGAAATTACATATTGTCTCATTCAATAAAATTACATATTTATATCATGCAATAAAATTACATATTATGTCATTCAATAAAATTATATATATGTTTTTCTTATTTATATATTTCTTATGTATATATTTCTTTGTCATTCATTTGATAATTTGGATTTTATGAATTACAGGTATTATGGCCACCAACGAGGAAAATTCACATGATGGAAACAAAACAACAAAAGACGTGGAAGGCGATATTAAAAGAGGAATAACGATTATAAAAAAAGCATTTGTGTGAGAGATAAAGGTGTAAAGTATGATGTGCATTGGAATGAAAGAGATCAATTAATTGGGCCTAACGGTGCGATGCTGACAAGTTACATTGGAGCACTTGTTTGTTCGCAAATTCCAATTACTTGCGATAATTGGAGAATTCCTTCGTTACAACCGGCTAAAGACAAAATTTGGAGCGAGATACAGGTATGATATTTGATATTTTTTAATTATGTCGACGGTTACATCTTTAAATTAATTATATTAACATGTTATATGCATGTTTATTTGTTTGCAGAGATCTTTTAATATTGATGATTGCATGAGAAAATATTGTCTTCAATTGGCCGGAAAACGACTGAAAAGATTTAGAGCGTTTTTAACGAACAAGTTTCTTAAAGATTCTGATAGAAACTTTGTCGAATCAGAGCGTCCAAAGAAGTACGCTGATCTGATTTCAGATGAAGAATGGGAGACATTTGTTGCCAAGCGAAGAACCAAAGAATTTTGCATAAGTACAACTTATCATGAACAATGTATAATATATATATACTTCTTCAACAGGAGTTCTGATATGACTTAAACTTATTTTTTCATGTTGTGAGTGACGTAAATCGGCAACGGGCATCAAAACCCGCGTATCCATACAAAAAAGGGCGTTTGGGATATGCACGCTTACAATAAAATATAGTAAGTATATATAAATGCTTTAATATTATATAGTTACAAAAAATAGTAAGTATATATAATGGGATATGAATGCTTTATTATCCGTCTTAATGTGTAGTTAGGAGAGGAGAAAAGTGATGCAACATCTCTTCCGAACCATGTTGTGTGGGAGGCTGCCCGTGTGGGAAGAATTGGAGTCGTTCAGGAAGAAGTTCAACAAGTATTTGAACAATGTGTAAGTACAACATTAGTTTTGTCAGTAACTCAAAAGTGTATAATATATTTATATATGCTTTTATCTATATTTTAGGAGACTTTATCCCAGACTATAACTGCAGCTGAGGACGATGATTGCAGGAGCTTACTAAGTCGGGTGTTAAATATTCCTGAGTATTCTAGGCGTGTGAGGGGTAAGGGATTTGGTGTCACTCCATCAAAACTGTATAAGCAGCCAAAGAAAAAAAATTCTAACATTAAAGAAGTGATGGATACATTGGAGGAATTGAAAGCTCAGATTCGTGAATTACAGAAGGACATAGAGAGATGCATGTCAGAAAGGCGCGGTCCAGAGGGTAAAGATACTAGTGACAAAGATAGTATCAATTGTCCGCAGAAGCTTCCAGAGGTAATTGTATATATTACATTGAAATTAATTTAGCACAACTTTCTTAGTTGACACATTAATCATAATCATGTTTAGAGCATTTCACCTTGTCGGCTATTTTTATCGTCACCGACTTATCGCATGGTTGACAAGGGAAAAATGCATAACACTTTGGGAGACTTACTTCACCATAAACCGCTCATTGCTGTATTTTTGAAAGTATCGGTTGATATTGCGTTAGAGGAGGGTGCGTTGTTGCCTATACCAGATGATGTTTCGGACACAACAGTGGTGGGAGACACAATAGGATCGTATGTTGCATGGCCGTCAAATCTCATTTTCATAGATGATGAGGTAGGTTGAAGACCATTATGAAGTATTCAAATGTTTTACGACCCATACATGAAAGTTATTCTTACATTTACATTTACTTATTTACATGATGATCTTAGACTCCTACAAAACCCAAATCAAAAGAAAAGGGAACTATTGTGCGGGAAACCGATTCAGCTGCATCAAAAAGACAGGTACTATTACAGTTACATGATGATCTTATTATACATTAATTACTGAATTTATATGACTTTTAGGTTCATGATCAACAGTTGCAACAAGTCAACAAGGTGCCCAACAAAAAAAATCCCGAGCCAAAAAAAGCATTTGTTCCTCGATTTAGGTTGTGCCTTGAAACATATGTAGGAACAACAGATGTGGCTGAGGGTGGCATCCGTCAAATACCTATGCAGGAAGGTATTTTTGGTTTTGAATATGCCGAAACAATTGCCAAGGAGGATTTGGACTATATTTTCCAACATTCTAAATTAGGCATTGGTGTTATGCATTCCTACATTAGGTAGTACTCCGATCAATTTTATTTAAATACTTAAACAAATTATTTGCTCATTTAAATGAATATTCTAATGTTGATTTTGTTTTTATTTAAGGTTATTGTATGACAAGATGTTGGTCCCGCATGGTTTGACTTCAAGATTCGTATTCTTATCTGCTAGCTGTATCAACGCACGGTCAATCGAACACACTCCAGATGTGGTCAGAGATTACATAGTAAAATCATTTACGGCCGCAGATACAGAGAAGTTGTGCTTGTTGCCATATAATACTGGCAATGGGTTAGATTTCATTCTAAATTCATTTATTATAATTATTCGTTTTTTGCCATTCTGTATAACATTTTCGTCTAAACTTTTGTCTTATTTTACA